CGCAAAATTTAAATGAAGCAATAAATTTATACATGCCTATATATATACATATAGATATAGCTGTATGTGTGCACATCTTTAAGTATGTTTAAAAACTCGTCAAAGTGTACATGCCCAAAAAAAAAAAAAAAAAAAGTTGGAAATTAGAAAAATCGGCAGGCAGAAATGCAGGAGGAATTGTTATTTCCGTGGCGGTGTACATTTGCGGGATAAAGTGTATGCAGTGTTCTCGGTAAACAATGTCATAATTTTATCGGCAAAGGTATCATATATGGTATGGCTACTGTTAGAAGAAATAAACGTTCTATGGATTTTGTTAATAATGTAAAAGAATGTAGATACGTCTTCAATCAAGGGGTATATCGGGTAGTTGTGAGTATCGTTTGTAAAAAGTATATTGCAAATATGTTTGTTGTCATCCATCTCGATACGCTTCGAGGTGGGGGAGGATAGGGTGCACGTGTTCTTATCTTCATGTTTGTTTTCTTCAACTTGGTTAAGTTTTTTTCCAGATAGATCGCCATTACTAACGTTATGTCTATTGTCAATGGTACTACAACAGTCGCTCTCACCGGTATTGGACATATCGAATTCGTTTTCTCCATTTTGGCGAACATGTGCTTGCTCTTTCTTAATTTTCTCTTCTATACTCTCGAATATTTTTCTGTAGTATTGTGCATTTTGGTTAATAATTTTGACAGTGTCCTTTCTGTACACTGTTGGTTCATATTCATAGTATGCGCAATAAATGACTCCTTCTTTGATTAATAAATCGTTGAAAGTTTTTACGAAGGAGGCTCTTTCGGCTTTCTTATGTTTGGTTTGCTGTTGTCCATGCGTGGCTCCCCCCTTTTGTTCTCCTGGTGCCTGTTCCTCGTTGTGGTGGTTCGGTTCATGTTCGCCATTGGGAGTATTTCCGCTTAAGGGGCGTTCACTTGTTTGCTCCTCTATTTGTGAATTTTCTTCATTAGGGGATTCCCTTTTATCGGTCTTTCCCGACTGAGAATCCTCCTGTGTTTCACAAATGCTGAAAAAGTTCACAAGTGCGTTGTGGAAACTTTCATTAAAGGGAATATTGACAGGTAACTCCGTGTCCGCAGGTGGGGTATTACTGTCTTTGTGTTTTTTAACAAACAATTTTAAAACATCAAATAGGAAGCAGAAATTTGGTGGTTTCTGATTAGTTGGGGAGTCTTTGTTTTTATCGGGATTGTGGCGGTTGGTCTCCTTCTCCTTCTTCGAATTGGTTGGAATATCTGTTGGTTTGTTTGGCTCTTTTAAAATTTCTAGGTAGGTAAAGTATGTCAAGAAAAAACCCTGGGGACACGAACCACTATTATAGTCTAACTGTAAAATATGTACAGAATTGCTCAAATTATTGATGTGCCTTTTTTGTAGGTTCCCTACTTTTGGCTGTTTGTGTATATAAAAGGATAAGCCGTTTTTTCCAATAAGTGAGTAGGTACTTAGGACAACCAGCCTATGTGTTTTGATGAGCGTTTTCGGCTTTTTACTTTTTTTTTTGCAAAGAAGATGTTTCTTCATTTCGTAAAAATTTATGTTAGATCCGGATGATATAACAAATTTTGGCCTAATTATATGTCCATTGTCTAGGACGACTGCATCTACTTTTACGGAGGTAGACACGGGAGTCCTGTGGTCATATTTTGTACTTTCCTGTGTGTAATCGTTGAAAGGGGAAAAAATGATGTCTTCTATTTTTCTGTCAATCATGTAAATGGAATTGTTTAGACAGGCCACTCGCGATATCGCATAGATAATGTCATTTTGCCCATAGGCCGGATAGATAAAAGGATTCGCAAACGAGTTTTGCAGTTTGAATTTATTTAACGAGCTGATTAAAATGTGCAATCGTTGAAGGAACTCCATTTTATTCATAATAATGCGTTTCTCCTTGGTATATCCGCTGAGGTAGTATTCGGAAATGTTCCTATTATTGCAGTGCTCCATTTGTAGGTCGAACACCCCTATCCCGTATATGATGTAGTCTGTTAGCTTTCCTGAGATGTTGTACAATTGGAGGTAGTCAGCAATGTTCATATTTGACTGTTCTTCGGAATGATCGGCGTGATCAGCGTAATTTGCCTGTGGAGCCTTTTCTGATTCCCCTTTTCCTCGTGACATGTCTCCATTTTGAGTGCCATCCTTCTTGTCCGCCGAAAGCTCGTAACCATTTGGAGTTTGCTGCTCATTTTTGGTGCTTGTGTGCCCGTTACTCCGTAGCGCCCCCCCCTGTTCCGTCACATTTGCCTTCTTTACAAAATTGTAATTGGAAAAATTGGAAAAGGTGGAATTCTTATCGTGAATAATGTTCTTGTAAATAAAATTCATAATCATTCTTTTTTCAATGAGGCTGAGGTTTCTGTCAAGAAAAACCTGGGATTTGTTTAGAGGAATTTTTAACACAATTAAATCGTTTTCGTCCTCATGATTATTATTATTACTACTACTGTTCAGGTTCTGCATATGAATTGTTCTAGGGTTGTGCCCCCCTTTATTCGTGTGTATTTCCTTTGCGACATTTTTTGGAACATTTACATTGTGCTTGTCTGTTTGATCAATTATCGGGTTGTAGCTAAGTCTATGGTAGGTCATGTAAAAGTACTGTATTCCCACAAAATTGATGTATATATGTGCCTTTAAGGTTGTCAAGACATCCACGATATTGCTTTCGTTGTATAATATCTTGGGGTTAAGGTCAATATTAAATCTGTTGTTATTTATTTGGAAATAGCTGTGCACTATTTGTTTGAGATTTTTTCTTTTTTCTACGTCGTTATCATTTTTGCTGGATGAGAAGGGCAAGTATTCCTCGTAAAAATTCTTGAGCTGGAATTTTTCATCTTGAAATTGTTGGAAATTGAAAGAACAGTTCACATCACCGTAGAAGTTATTCTTATCAATGTTTATTACTTTGTAGTTGTTAATGGAAAAGTAGGCTGCTAGTAAAGTGTTCTGTAGGCTGGTGCCACATATCAAAATGTCGCAGTCGAAGGTTGTGTTTTTGTTGTCATCCATTTGAAGAGGCAGGGGAAAGGCGGGGGCGTGGTAGTTAAAGGTGGAAAAATAAGTTGCCTGATGGAGCAAGATGTTCACGCTGTACACATTGGGATGAGTACAAATGTGATTTTTTTTTTTTTTTTTCCTCTTATAAAATGTGCATTCTTATGTCCACAAAAGAGGGAGAGTATTTTGTTGGCTGACCCGCGGTGAAGAAGTGATCCAGTTGACGGATTCAGGCTGCGAATTTTTTTTTTACACAGGTTGTTTTTTTCGTACATATATGTTTTACCATTTTCAGGTATTGGGTCATTCAAATGCTTGCGCTTGCACATCATTCATGAATTTTGCAGGGAGCGCAAAGCTATTTACATATGTGCCGCTGTGCCATGCTGCGCATATGGGTAGCGACCTTATGCGTTATGTGGCTACACAGGGATTCACGTTTTTTAAGCGCATGGAAGAATGTTGCTAAATTTTTGCCAATTCATATTTCTTAAGCGTGCATAATTTTTTTTTTTTTTTTTTTTTTTTTATTTCTTTATACACAATAGCACAGATAAATGTGCCCACTGGAAGGCGTGAGAATGATTTAAGTAGAGGAACGCGTTGCCCATTCACACCTTTGGTGTTATTGCTACAAGATATTTTTTAGATAACTTGCGTCTCCTGTGTATGAAATAACAGAAGATCATGTTTGTTTCTTTCGATTTGGCCTTCACAAAGCACATCAGAAGGAGTTTTTTGACGCTAAGTGGTAAGTAAATGAGAGAGCATAGGAAAATGTGAGGTGACATCACAATTTTGAACGTATACATAAAGGGAAGTCCATTATAAGTGTAAATCTGCACATACCCACTGAGGAGAATCTATCTATGTTTATCCTATATATGTTCATTTTTCACTTTTAAAGTAATAATCTTATGTAGTGATCAACTTCCCGTTGCTTTAATTTTTTCAGGCGTTTTTCTCACAAAAAGGACATGGCAAACCAACATGAAAAGGAAAACGTACAGGTCCAAAAAAAGGAAGAAGTACATAAGGCTAGGAGAAACACTAATTCGGATTCAGTGAATTAACGGCGACCTTTGATGAGTAACCGATTAGTCTTAGTGCAGAATCTCTGTTACGTTTTTTTTTTTTTTCGTTTTGCCTTTAGTCAAACTTTGCCTAACTATGAATAAATCCTCCTTTTGTGTATTTGTGTTCCGCCTTCTAGGGAATCAATTTGGCATTTTTTTTCTCCACATCTTTTTTTTTCAGCCCGTCTTTATAGAGTAAAATCCATGTGCAATTTCATCCATGGTACCGGGGCTCCTTTCCTGTACACCGTCTTAGTGGCAATACATCCCTAAGCTTTTTTCTTGACCATCTTCTTCTTCTTTCGCTTCCGCTTAACGAGCTTTAGATTTATTTGTTTCAATATTTCCCTATCAACCCTGTAAATATGGAAGCAAATGCGTGTAAAAGAAAAATACACAACTGCCAAAAGTGTGCGGGCAAAACAAAATAAAGCCAATGCGATTAAAATTTGAATGGCTAGCGAAAAAAAAAAAAAAAAAAAAAGGCCACGTAAGTTTTTTTAGCTGAATATGTGTTTTCCAACTAAATTATTCATGAGCTTACTCGTGAGGTAGCTTCAAAATAGAAATCGTCTTATTAAAAGACATAGCGTCATTTATTTTGGCCAAATTGTCATTTTCGATGAAGTTTCCAATTAGAGAAATGCTCCAGATGTTCTGTGAATTTGTTGAAAAGGGTGGAATTCATTAGTCATCCATATAGCGGTAATTGGTTTGGTTCAGTTCGGTGCTAAGTTTTCATCCGTTTTTGTGTGTAAACTAATGAAGGTCGTATACTTGGGGGGGAGTATACAATTTAATTTTGTGTAGTAGTTACACAATAGAACTTTCTCTTCCTTTCCCTCTTTTTTTTTTTTTTTTTTTTTTTTTTTTTTTTTTGGGCCCCTTTCCCACCGTTTGGCTGACAATAATTTTGCACAGCGTTTCCACGAAAGAGTCATCTAAATTGAACATGTTGTAAGAAACGTCTATAGTGCTTAGGGAGTTGTTTAGCAAAAAGCTTTCGAAAAGCTAAAAGGTAGAGGAGTGGATATATGGGGAGTGTTTGGATGGATGAATGAACTTGGAAGAAGCGGAGGTACATTGTGCTTGGGATGTACACTTGACAGCTAAAATGAGAGAAAGGTTCATTCTCCTTACAGCGCGCATCCCTTGTGCGTCAAACTTATTCCCGTTTAAATTCAAAGTAGTTAGAGAAGAGTTCAAGTATATTACTATGTCTATGATGTATTTCATGCAGTCGTTGTCCATGTTGCAGTACTGTAAGGAAAAATAAAAAAAAAAGGGAAGTCACATAATATGAGGGGTAAGTGCCACTTTTGCAGTGGCACATCTAACTTTGCATGTGTGTGTTCAGGCATACACACATTTGAGTATTTAAAAATTACTTGAAAGCTGAGCGTCTTTAAACTGTTATAGTTGCAAAGGGACAAGGACAGATACTTGAGGCAGTGGCAATTTAAGTTAATGCAATCTATGGATAAATTTTCTAACTTTAGAAAAATGGTTTACAAAGGGTTTATATATTGTTGGCATGCTGTTACCGGTTGAGCGGTGGTGTGACGGTGGCATGAATGCGAATTAGCAGCGCCTTGGCCCATTGGGCACAAATAGGGGCACATGCACACATTGGCAAACGTCGGAACATGGGAATAGCTTCTTCCTAGGACCCACCTTTGCATAACCATTATCGTACAACGATTTGGACAGGAGCACAATTCCGTTTATATCTATGATACTATTGAAGAAGCTGAACGATTTAATATTACACATATTTTTGTTAACCACTTCGTTGGGTAATTCTTCTTCCGGCTCTTTTTCTCTTTCAACACCTTTTTTTTTTAAATTAAGTTTATCCTTTTTATCTAGGTTTGTGGACTTCTTCTTTACATTTTTGGTGTTTTTTTTTAAAAGTTCACTTATTTTTATGTTGTCCATGTAAAAACATATTGCCTTTATTATGTCATTTCCGTTTTGGACATTCAGGACGTTGATTCGATTAATGCGCTGTTGGTGTAGGAAAAAGGGGTGAAGTGAACACGAACCAGATGAGGGAGCGATAGAAGTGTTACTATAAGTGCTTGCTTTTTTGGTGCATGTCCCCTTGGGAACATTCGTATGTTGCACAGGCCAAGCATAATTTTTACGTCGTAACTGGAATCAATCATTGACAAAATTAAGAAGGAAAAAGCATCTGAGTCAACATCCTCGTAAATGGTTAAGGTCCCATTACTTTCTTTATTCTCCTTTTAAAAAAAATTAATTACAATATGCATGAAGTAAGAAATTGTTCATATTGATGATATGGTAGATTCTATTTTGCTTTGGAAAAAAAAACAAATAAATAAATAAAATAATTTCATGGGCCCAGTTTGGAGAAAGTGGACGGTTTTTGCATTTTCCGGAGGGAGTTGTAGTTGTTGATGCCTGGATGATACCTTTATTAAGAATTCGTCTATAACGTAAGAGCTCTTCTTCTTGAACTTTTTTAGCAACAAGTAATAGCAGTCCACGAGGTTCTTAAAGGAAAAGAAGAACAGGCAGAGGAAAATGTACATTGTTTGATTCTCACGCTTGAAAATTGGCACGTTTATTCATTCCGTCATTCATATGATGGTTCATTCGTTTCAACCTTGTAGTTTTCATTAGGTTTGGTGGATTTTTCGTTCTCCATTTTGGCTACATGATTGTGCTATGAGCTCATGTTCGAGTGCGACAGTTCTAAATTGGGGAGAAACATGTGATTCCCGTCCAAGCAGGGGCAGTTACATGTGCACGGGTATATGCTGCCTCTTTGGCACTAAAAAAAATTTACGTTAATGATTAACATGTAACATGTCTTTAAGCGTTATTACAATGCACATTGAGGAAAATATGTGGGAAGTTTGTTTTTCTGAAATGGAAGATTTAATTATGGCCCATGTTTTCTCTGTTTATGGCAGTTTCGCGTAGACAAAAATGTGCACATTTGCTACGTAACTCTTCGGGAACAATTTCGTGAATATATTATAGTCCCTTAATTTCTTCTCCAGGGGCAAAATGAAGGCGCCGCAGAATGATACATGAAGGGATGGATAAAAGAGTCTTTACTTTTGTGCATCATTGATCATACAGGGATCACTCTTGTTATAGGTATCTAACACTACGCATGCAAGTGATATGTTACACTTTCGCGTATGCAAGAATGGATATATATATATATATATTTTTTTTTTTTTGTCGTGTAATAAGACATAGTCTTCGACCTTGCTGAAATTTCATAATGTACACGTTTACATATAATTTTTGCGTGGGCAAAGATTGTGTAACTGGCCTAAATTACGAAATGAGGATTTACCTTGCTTTGCTTCTCAGCATTTTAGTCACACTTTCAGGTGGGTACAAAGCGTTTGCATGCTTCAAAATGCTAATAATGCTGGTAGGGGTTGCGAATAGCGTGAAGTGAGAGACGCGTAATAAGAAAAAGGCAGTCTGGAAATCAGGGCTTGTTACGCGCTTTCGAATTTGGACGTTTGTTGTTTTCTTATTTCGTTGCATGAGGCTGTGTAGGATGGAAAAAGAAAAAAAAATGAACAGCACAATTTCTTTTTAATAGAAAATTCTCCACTGATTTTTTTATTTCCTATGCCATATGCATATAATCGAGATTATTCAATAATATGGACAGGTTTATAGCTCGATAACGCATCATCCAAACCGCCCTAGGGGAAACCAAGTCCAGAATGCTACGCGGGGGCGCAATGTAGCGTACAAGTATAGTAGACTGGCACTCTGCAATATCAAGCAAGATATGATACAACACAATATCATATGATATGATACGGTATGATATGATACGATATAATATGCCATGGTCAAATTCGCGTTGTTTGTAATACGCAATACATAATCATATACATAAACAGCCTAGTACCATTTTTGCCTGTAGGAGCATACCTTTCATTAGGGTTAATATATATCACATTATTATGCAAAGATTGTCAGCATACACAGGTAATTGTTCTAATGTGTATATTATGCGGGATGGTCGACTACATATCATACTGATCCGTATTATGTCCAGCGGTGTGCGGTGTATAAGCCGAAGTTGAAGTAGCTGTTTTTTTTTGTTTTTTACCTTGTAGAATGCGCCCCAGAGGAAAATTTTGAGGATGGCCAATTTCCCTATTATCCGTTTTGACTGGTACAGAACTGTATCCTATGAAATGTAATGTGCATATGTAGTAACGTTGAGCCTCCTCTTTATAATACTTTAATGTTCATGGAACTAATGCTGTGAATCTTTCCTAAAGAAGTTAAGTAATCCATTTATTTAAGACCGATACATGATAAGGATAGAAAGGAATTATTTAAGTAGGAACATGCTTCTATGTTTTCAATGGCTTTACAGTTATGAATAGGAAACTACACACTGTGTATTGGAGATAACCCGCAGCTGATAATCTATTAATGTAAACAGTGCTGAATAACATAAAGTGTTTTACCCATTTTTGATGAAGGTACCACGATTATGTGATTTGCACAGTGATTCAATTGGTGGGCCATAATGGTGTGAATTCTTACACGATTGTGTCCGCTCATTGCCACTATGTATAATGTCTTATCAGGTGCACTATTTACGTCATTAACATAGTAGTAACTTTGTGTTTTTTCTTCACAATATACGCAAAAAAAAAAAAGTTAAAATTGAATTTTAAGAACAAGAAAGATTATCTGTGTTTGTAGACTAGACTAACATCATCCCGGGGTGTCGTGAACATGAAAGTAAACTTTGTTTTACGATATGTTCAAGGTTTATTCTTAGGGATATAAGAAAATTTTAACAATAACAACAACAAAAAAAGGATAGTAATATGGCGTAGCCGCACGGCACTTCGTGTTATGTACGCGTACAATTTTAGTGAATCAATATTTTGAAAATAACATGAATTATTTATTGGGGTCTAAAATGCAGATGCCTGTATGCACGAACGTTTTCGGCCATGTAGAGATGCGTGACATATAAATATATTTATATATATGTAGATATATGAGTTGTTGGAGAGGCTAAATATATTATGCTTAAGAATTGTTAATTACAGTATGTTGTAGGCACTTGCCAAACGGAAGGAAACAAGAAGGCGTGATAAATTTGGGTTAGGTAGTTATTTTATCAGAGGGTAAAAGGAAAGGCGATCTATAATATTATGGCTTAGAAGAAGTGTTAGTTTGATTATATGTGGGTTGCCTAGCTGAAATAATAGGGGGATGAAGTATTCACGTTATTCAACCCATACAGAGAAGGTTAAACGTTTTTGTTATTAAGAGTAAAATGAAATGTTACAACGGCGTGTCCGTCTATTGTGCTTGTTTGGGTGATACACAAATGTGTTCTATACATATGTCCATATATTATTGCATATTTAGTAAGCATAGAATTAATTTGGGCTCAGTCATTAGGGAATTATAGAGAAGTTTTGTTTTGTTTGCAAGTACTTTTTCAGTATACATAAGGGTTAAGAAAAAAATATAAGGTAAATTAATCATTTTGTCAAAGGTACATTATAAGTTCGTAATTATACACACTTAAAAGGGGTGTTTATGATGGCACCTATGACGGATGTAGTATCTGCAGGTTCTACATGAAAAGTCCATAAATATTTAATTTCACAAACATATGGGTAATAACACAGTAAGTATATACTAATGCAACGACTGAAAAAATGAAGAAGAAATAAATGTTTTGTGGTATATACTTTTAAGGACTAACTAAAAATGCATGTTGCATGTTCAAAGGAGGGCTTAAAACGTAATGTAACTTTTTTTGTTTTTTTTTTTTTTTATTAAGGAGAGTAGAGGATGTTTCATTTACGAGGACGTAACACGCACCAGCAAGGACGGGTACTTATCATCAGCGTGTGTTAAGTTAGTTTGGATTTTTGAGATGATACACCGTTACTTTTTTTTGTTGTTACATCTTTGAGAAAGAGTCAACGCTGAAATACACAAGGGTGGCACTAAATGGGCAGCATAGAAGTGGCAAAATAATTAATATATCAAATGGTGCTAAGTAAACATATAAATAGTTAGAAAAGGAAATCTGTGTTGTACTATTGTAATGTTCCGCATGTACTACTCCTCGCCTTGAAGCACTCTGCATACAGACAAACGCATTTTGGGAAATATATATGACCACAAATATTTACTGCATTCATTGGCAGGTGTAAAGGAATGGGGTTTACAAAAGTATGTTTCATTTTGCAGGAAAATGATGTGGCTAAAATTTATGCACATACATATTATTACATCAATGCATCATTAGTGATGGCCATTCAACAAAAAAATATAATAAATAATAATGTTTAGCATAGCGCATACGTTGTTGAGTCATGCAGTCACTTCACGCATGCACCCGTCAACGGGCATGAGGTACACATATTACATGAGCCACAAAAATGGTAACTATAGGGAAAAAGAAAGCCGTTTTCTTTATTTACATTATATGCGAATGATAAATCGAGCTAATTTATGTTTTAAACTATCATGTACATACCAAAAAAAAATGATGTGCTATTCATTTGTGCCTTGGTTTAAAGTTATAAAGGTGATCATTTCGCAACGTTTTTAATATACACGAACCGGTAAAGCGTAGAGCGGCAAAGTGGCAAACGTTTCTATGATAACTTATTACGTGTGCGCTGCAGAGAAGCGTCATTTTTCTAAAAATTTCGTTCTGTCACAAATTTTATTTTTTGTCTTTTTTTTCCTGCAATATACCACTTTCTAAAGCTTCTTTCAATTCGCTGTAGGTTGTTTTTTTGTGTTGCTTAATAAAGGCGTTCCACCTGTTGATACTATCATTTAAAAAGTCGATGAAATCACTTGTTTTGCATGTCGTGCATTTGTTTAAAAATAGTTTTAAGTGTCCATCATCATCATTATCTGTTAGTTTTATACATTCTCTTCCAAGTTTTTGATATTGATGCCGCCAACATTTATTTTGATAACTTTGATCTCGTTTATATTTATCTGATAACATAGCACATGCCGTGTACAGACATTCAATAAGATGCCTGAAATTTGATATATGTTGATTGTATAGAGCAATATAAATTTTGGACATGTCTGCTTCAGTTATATTGGGACCACATGATATTAGTTTATCCTTCATTTCATCTGTGAGTTTCACATGACGGCATGATTTCTCCATATAATATCCCACTGATTCATTGGGTAATGGTTCTTTGTTTTTCTTTGTGCACCGGCGAGTCCATGGAATTTGTGTCATCATATTACCTGGCACGCCGAACATCATTGCTTCACTCAGGGACCTTGGTGGCCGATGATTTAGGCGCAGTTGGGGGAGGCCATTCTTACCACTGTCACCTGTGGAGATATTCTACACAGAAGTATATAGGGGAGAGCGTACGACATGTTGTAGTTTTCCTTTGTAATATAACATGCATTATTATGCACGATTATCGCACATGCATGATTTGGAAAATGAATGTTCGATCTGGTATGAAGGTTCGTCTTGCGTTATCACTCTATGCGAATAATCACATATATAGTTTATCTATCATGCAGTACGATTTGTTTTTCACTCACCAATAGTAGGATATATAAAAGGGAGAAAAGCGTTGCGCCAAAGGAGACCCTGGTTCTTAAGCTATAACTGGGGAACCCTTTGTTTTTCTCATTTTGCCTGGAATATTGAGATGCATCTGTGGTTGCTGGTGACTTGTACAACGCCATGTTTTTTAAGTTCAAAGTTGAAATACGAAATAGGGAAATACGGAAACAACGAAATAACTTTATTTAAAGTAAAGCACACACGGAAAACTACTATATAATATATACACGTAGCAACCCATTCGGATAAAAAGATGTTTTTACAATTGCGCGAACAACATTTGGTTTCCTTAACCTATATGTTAAACGTTGCATGTACAGTTTACCTTTCTATGTAGTATAAATATTTATATATGTCTGTATATGAATATATACATACATGTACATATGGATATATAAGTATATATAATACAAACCGCCCTATTTTGAGCGATAAAAAAATTATACAACGGAAAAATGGTATTCAGATGGAAATTTCCGAATGAAAAAAAAAAAAAAAAAAGTACTAGCCTGAAATTGGCTTGACAAAAAAATTAATTCATCTAAAAATTCATGGTAGCAATGCCATTCCCGCAAATAACAACAAATTTGTTCAAATGATATTATAAAAGTAATACATGGGGGTGCTGTTAGAACTTTCGTTTAACTATTTTTAATAAGTGATTACCCAAACGTGTATACATTAATTCAAGACACTTGATCATTTATGCATGCATGTTATATATAAGTTCCACATAATTATTACATAAATTTCGGAGTGCCTATATGTTAACCTCTATATCCTGTACCTGGATCGCCACGCTTTGGTATCTATACAGCACTGTAATACTAAATACAGTGATGCAGAAATAATAACGCAACGTTATGAACATTTTTTTTTTTTTTTTTGGTATCGTATTGGGTAACAGTCTATTGGTTTATTTATGGCGAATTGTATCAAAATCGACAGCGATTTTTGCTGATAAAAAAAAAAATATCATTGTTTTATTACGGTAATTACAAGGCCTATACGAATATAGCAGTTTTTTCTTGCATAAGAGAAAAAAAATGCTTTTAGATTTATGGAAAACACAGTACAAACTGAAGGAGTAAAATTGTAACCATAAAATTAATTTGGTCCCTTAACTTTTCTTTTATGTAGTATTCATATTATGCTTTCTTTTTAGTACATTATCGTTCTTTGTTCTTTAAGTGATGTAAAGATAATCCTTGTATTTTGTATAAACATATATTGGTTTTATGTGCAAGCGCTCTCTAACCCCATTTTGAGATATCCGTGCGCACAATTTTTTGCTATCGGGGGAAAGAACAGAATGTTCCTCGTTTGTATCTTTTGTTGGCATTCAGCATGTTTGCAAAATGTTCCATTTAATTTTAACAATTAAAAGTGGATTAAAATTTTCTTTTTTTTGTAATTTTAGCATTATTTATTGGTGGGCTGAATTAACGCACAAGTTGACTAAACAGTAATTTCTACGGAGGATTTTAATAAAGCAAAGTTAGTGTTTCTACAAGGATATATCATATAGTAAAAAAAAGAAGAAGAAGAAATAAATGCCAACACTGCAATGTAGTTGCTTTTTGTGCACGTTTTCGTGTATGCATAAGTAGTACTACTCTCTCTTATGCAGACGTAGCTAAATACGTCTTTTAGAAGTAAAATTATAAAAGTGTTAGGTTATATTAGGCTGCTACTTATTCCCGCATGTGCTTAAAGCTTATGTAGGTGAAAGTGTTTCATGCATTAGAAACGTATGTTTCTATTGTCTACTTATTTATATGAGTAGGAATTCGTTTCTTTAAGGCGTAATTAATAGCAACGTAGCTTGGTTACAGGTTAGTAATCACCTGTGTAGTACATATTTGATGTAAAGAATACTGCACTCGTGGTGTGCTGTGCGAAAAAACGGCGAAACAAGCCTAATACTTTGTAGTCGTTCCAAATTGTTCCTAAGAATTTATTTCTACATTTAAAGAATTATAATTGAGCGAATGGGCAGAGTCTCCCTTAACACCCCCATTCGCGCAATCATAATAACATTGATGAAAAGGTCAATGGTGCACTACAAAAAAATATTGCATGATGAAATAAATTTACAAAGAGGGTCCTATAAAATATTAGATAGCCATTTTAAAGGCAGCACATATTTTCTACGTTTTATGTACTGTGCTCGTACGCTTTGCTATGAAGTATAAAGTGTATTTCTCAGACTACGGAGGTAAGTGTGAATAGCGTCCTTATTTTCGCCTTGTAGTGTTGTAAGATTACGCATATACACGTACATATACCTTCGTATTGGTACTTTAGTGACACCGAGTGGAATCGATACCCATTCAGCGCTCAGGTTTATATATGGTAATGTGTGCACGCGTATGGACACATACATGTTTGAACACAAATATAACGTTATACAAATGTGTATAATTTGTTCAAATAACAATGAAAAAGGACCGTATGGTTTGTTAAATCATTTCATTTTAGGTGGACAACTGCGATGTTCGCAAATGTGAGAAGAGCGCGCTCATATTTTTTTGACCATGTATATATCGCGCTTAATACTGAGCACGTATAAATAAACTATATAAGGGGGAGCAAGGAATTTTAAGTGGGTCAATGAAAGTAGGCCGTAATTTGTGCTTCTGTACGTTGTGCTAGTCTTCCCAGGGGATAGGTGCATACATTTTTCCACAAAGGAAAAAATTAATCCCCCAAGTGTAGGTCCCCTTTATCTTTGTGTTAGAATATACCATTGACTTGTTGATGGATTTATTATATGCGTAAAATTACACTTGTGTATAATGCTCCCATGCTACTGTAATTCAGTTTGTAAGGTCAGTTTTATGCACATAAATATATTTCGCTCGAGCCAATATACAGAGCAGAAAATATATTTTTGTTGTATGAAGGAGGGCGTTCAGAAAAAACGTGTAAAAAGAGTACTCCACAGCGTTTTTCCTTCTTAAATGTTTTTTTGATATTAGATTTATTCACCGACAGCTCAAAAACTGTGCATAAAATTGGGTATTGTCGGATGGGATGCGGCCGACCTGAGTATAGACATTTTAGAATTAACTATAGCCTTATATGTGTGTGATATGAACAGAAGGGAAAAGAGTATTATGTACGTATATATATAACGTTGTGACGGATTGTTTGGCATAGTGATGCATAGCGACATTTTCTTTTCGTTTCTTCAAACATGACCTAAAGATCAGAACATCTATTACACATCTTATGGTAATTTATGTTAATAAAATTGAACACTATATGCGATATTGTGCGAATTGTTATAAATTTGTTTCATAATTATGATTCCTTTTAGAAGCTTATCACTGCCAAGTGAGATGCACAATACACAGGAAATGATAAAAGTTTACATTTACAGGATCATATTCTATAAAGTAAAATATAGCATTTGCGTGGTATATATGATTCTTAATTTGTACATCAGAAATGATATTTGCTAGTTACATGCATAGCCAACACTATGCCGGTTTCCCAATGTGTTAATATGTGGCAGGAGTTTCCTAGGGATAAAATATTTACACAATGATAAGACATGTTGGTTTATGTGCGTAGATCTCCTTGCGGCGGTTGCTAATATTCGATGCGTACACTTGTGATATAATGCGCTTAATCTTTCCTGTTGCGTCAATGGCACGATACGCAATAGTCACATCTAACGCACCTATGTACGTGTGAGATGTGGGCTGTTCTAAAAAATGTCCATTTACACATGATTGTATGAAAAAATATGGATATGTATATAAAGACCAGAGCATAGGAAAAGAAGAGTTCCCCTTTGTACTAGGGTGTGGGGAAAAAAGATGACAAATTCGCTAAGGGAGAAGAAATAGAAAAAGTAGGGAAATATATAAAAAGAAGGAGAAGCTGTTTTTTCGTACATAGAAATAAAAACGGTTGAAGAAATATTAAAGGAAGGTGATAATTTAACGGAAAAATTAGCTAGTGAGGGTAAACATTTTAATAATGAACAGATTGTGAATGCATTAGTAAGGTCAGACGCAATGATGATGAATCGAAAACATTCAAAAGAAAAGGAACCACAGGAAGGTGTAGAAGTGGCTAATGCAGAAGCAAGAAGAGAGCAAAAAAAAAAAAAAAAAAAAGGACAGGGAAAAACAACACATGCAGTGCAACTGTTGTGTAAAGCAGAAAAAATTACAAAACTAGTTCAGGAGGCAAAAGAAAATGAATAGAACAAATAATCAACAGGGGAACCCGACAATGACACTAAGGTTGAATATGAAATGCCGAAAGGAAAGGACTTAGATGTAAGAAAAGGGCAGAATGAAACGGAAGGAAATAACAGAAGAGGCTATAAAGCGATGGAAAACAAAGAAACGGAAGCAGGAATGTTGGTAACTGAACCAAAGGAAAAGGAAGGAGAACCAAAGAAACCCATAAAAGCTATATTGTTATCCATTATAAGGATGATTCGATACAAAATCCAATAAAGAAAGATTATGCGGAAAACCCTTTCCCAAGGGAAAACTGTTATGCGGAAATGTTCAAAAGTGTAAGAGGGGGGAAAACAAGCAGGATGAAGGAAAATCTAAAAGGAAGTAAATGGTTCAAATAAACCTATATTCAATGATTTAGAAGAAAATATATTTGCTGTTACAACGCTAAAATAACAGAAAGATAAAAAGGGCACACAAGGTAAGTGGAAATGTTAAAAAGGGTGCCGAGGCTAAAAAGACTGAACATGCTAAGCCAGCAGATGATTCCAAAGGGCTGCTAACTCAAAAAAAAAAACACAAGGGATAATACAAAAAATAAGAGTGATGAACCAAAAACAACTTGTGATACTATAAAAAAGTTTCAGGGGAACCAGGTAAAATTTTAAAGTAGAAAAAAAAAATAATGTAATGGTAAAAAACTTATAACGCATAGAAAAAAAGCAAAAATTATATTGCTACTTTTTGTACGAATGTTATTTCTCGCACCCCCTAAGTCGTCACTTAGCTTAAATCCTTTATATTTATTTTGGAAACTTTGGATTACCGCTGGCAACCCTGTGATTTGTAACAAATAGATTAAATTAACATTTTATTGTGTATATATAATAATTATATTTTTGCTTTTATTGTAAAAAAATATTTGTAACATTCTTCGCTGTTTCCTACCCCTATTTTGCTGCTTTATTGTTAAAAAATAATCAATTTGCTAAGCTTATTTATTTAAAAAAAAAAAAAAAGAAAAAAAGGGGAATTGCATGCAGGGAGGGGAATATATATTTACATTAGATCCCTTTTTTTCATATACGCCTTATTTCTTTTGTTGTTTATGAGCCTATTAGTAATTGAAAAACAGTGCAACGAATTTTTTCCTATTAACACATATTTAAAAGGGGACACGGGGAATTCATATTTTTATCCTTTTATTTGTAAAAATTTGTAATTTCATATTCAATTGTACATATCACATTGGTATGATGTTGTTTGTGATATTTCATTTCCTGCTATCTATGCCTGTTGGTGATATTACTATTTTACATAAACGAACAAGTTGTTATATAAAGCAATTATATATTTATACAATATGTACACTAAACAATACATGGATATATATAGTTTCCGGTCACTCTTGTTATAGATGTGGCAAATACATGTTATGTTGGATCACACAATTTTATGAAAATGAGCGCTTCATAGGGGGGGGGATCCCTTTCCTGTTTAATGGATTTTTTTTTAAGTACAAAGTTCGTTTTTTATTGAATGCACAGTATATACATATGTTTATATTAACTGCACTGTTTGTTTTATAATTACATTCACGAATATCTTTCAATGTTTGATATGTATTGTGCTATGTAAGCTTACATATATAGCACAATACATATATGTAAGGATATATTGTTGCACGTGTTATGTACATATGTACTGTGTATATGTACCTACGTATATATTTATACTTAGAGTACATTTTTGTTAACATATTTATTGACAACGCACAATGACATGTGTGGTCCAATTAATCATATATATGTTTTTAACATATATTAAATGAATATGCCTGAACAATGTCATAATGCTGTATTTGTAGTGTGCTTATTTAGTAAATACATTTAGGAAAATATTTTGTTTAAAATATTTGTTCCTTCGCACACAGCAATAAAATTTATGTTCATTAATAATGAACCATAGATATTGCGAATTTGATTAAATAAAAAATAATTATGAAGAAATTTGATAAAAATTATAGCGGATTTGTTGAATTTAATATACGCTGTAAGCACATAGTTAAAAGATTTTTCATTGAAGCTTTAGCAACATTTAAGAAATGTCACATCTCGCCCAAATCAGCGGGGTTCCTACGTTTTACTAAGATTTTCAACATTACTGTTTTATTATGGATATTATACTACTTCAGCAGTGTAAGAAAAACAAATAATATTCCTTACGAGTGTGTGTGCGTGTATGTTTTTCTTTCTTTCTTTTTTTTTTTTTTAACAGCTTTTTAATCCCAGTATTTGTTTTGTACCTCCCTTGGGAGCTTTTTTTTTTTTTTTTTTCCGTGTGTTTTTCGTTATTTCATTTTTATTTCCCGAATTTTTCATTCATAGAGAAATTTATTGCCTGCACCATTTAATTTATACTCTTATACACTTTTTGATTTCGTGTTTCAATATTTTCAGTCCATTGCCACTGTTGAAATATGGGGTACAAAGGAAAATGACAGCTCTGAATGGCTCATTTTGAGGTCTAGTAGATTGTTAAGTAACGATGAAATTGTAAGTAACGAGAATCATGGATACTCTAGAAAAAATATTGCGGATTTGTTAGAGTTAGACGAAAAGAGCATTGAAGAACAGTATGAATCATTAATATCCGAAGGTTTCAACCAGAATAGCATTAAATGGAAAATATTTGGCAAGCACACACCTCGAGTAGTTAGAATTGCGAACCAAATAAATAAAACGATTGATATGGAATTAATCCGTGCATTAAAATCAGATTCTTGTTATGAGGGAATTGAGGTGATTTCTCTAAAAGAATCAAAGAATGGGCGGATAAAATCGTTCTTTCGTAAGTATAAAATATTTGTTCCTCACGTCCTTCTTTTTTTGGGAGCAATTGTGGCTGCATCGTTGAAAGAACCCTTTTCTGCTGTTTTGTTAGTCATTTTGCTGTTCATATTAATAATATTCTTTTTCGTAAAAATACGGAAATGCACCTATATTATGGAGATGAACAGGAAATCAAGGAACAGATATATTGGTTTGGACTATTAGGTTGTCACCTCTCTGAAGACTACCCCCAAGGTATTATAATCCTTGCAAGTCATTACATTTAATACCATATTTGGAATACACTTAACACCTCATGTATTTATCTGAAGATATATATATGTGTGTACATGTATATGTTTGCTCTTCTTATATATGAGGCATGAAATTTTAATCTTATTTTTTAAAATTTTTTAAGAGCCTTTTCAATCATAATGTGCACGTTGCTACAGAGCTTAAACTCTTGCATTTGTGTTCTAATGAACAAAGAAAATTGTGAGGCTTATTTGACACAAATGAAGTGTTTTTTTAAAGAAATCATTCTTTTACTTTATTATACTATATCTTATATGTTATATATTATTATATTACATTTTTTTTATATTATACTTTTATTACATTTTACTGTATATATATTTTTTTATTCTTGTTTTGCATAATTCTAACTTCATTTTTTTTTATGTCACTTTTATGTAACGAATGATTTTTTTGTCTGAGTTTAGTTTATTTGAAAAGTGTCTTTTTTGTTTTATGTACATTCATACGAAAAAAGATTAAAATTTTTTGTTTTTGTATTCTTAATATTGTTTATGAATTATATTTTATGTATGTATTCACATGAATGGCACAAAGAGGCTTTGTGTTCCTTTTTAAAATATCACGATTCAATAACTTTTCAAACTTGCATTTTTCGAACGAAAAATATACAATAGTTGTATTGTTAAATTTCCCTAAATTGAATTTTTAGTTTTGGTTTTTACTTGTTCTACTTTTTTAGTAAGGTCACTAGGTTGTATATGTATATACGTATGTATAATTATACACACACATATATATATATATATATATATATATATATATATATATATATATATAT